GCCCGGACCCCCGTCTTCCTCCCGCAGAGCCGCGTCACGCGCCGCCGGGAGAGCGTGACGTCACGCGCCCGGAGGGCCATCGGTTGCCATGGCGACACCTGGGCGCCCTACAGCCCACTGCCATCCACGCGCTGCGATCCCTGGCCCCGGAACGATGAGACAGTCGCCAGACCTAACTCAGGGCAGAGCTGCTGGACTGCCGGAGCTCAGCCTCTGACCACGCCCACTGAATGCGTCACGGCCACTTCCGGTCATGCAAGGCACCGTCCACAGAGGGTGAGGACTACAGTTCCCAGAATGCAGCGCGCGACTCCACGGGACTATATTTCCCAGAGGCCCTAGCTGCATGGGAGTGGTGCCGCATTAGCCACTTTTGCTGAGGCCTGCACGTTGGCCCTCGGCCCTGACTTCTAGGGGGTGCGGTCCCACGCTTGGACTTCAACACTCAAACGGGCATTTCCCGACGCCGCTGTACGCTCATGACCTGACCTGCGTTGTAATCTGTGTTTTGTTGTTCTGTCGTTTTAAAAGTGCAGGTCGTTTCTCCTTTTCATGGTAGAGGTAAAGGAATAAGGTTTAGAGCGCTCAGAAATTTCAGAAAGTATCCTGGGAACTGGAGAAGACAGGGCAGGAGTAGAACACAGAAGAGCTTCGAGAGGTCGCGGCCTAGCAGGAAATCGCTAGATAAGGGGCCGAACGCAGCAAACAGCAGCACCAGTGAAAGTCACACTGAAGGACTGAATCCATGCTGTCGGAAAGTGATCGTTCTGTACAGGATAGTCTTAAAGATTTTCCCTGATCTAAAAGATAAAACAGAGTAAGAGTCAGCAGTAGATATGAACTATCGATCAGAAAAGAGGCCCCGGGCCAGGGATTTAACTCAGTTCGATCCCCGGTACCAAAAAGAAAAAAGAAAGAAAAGAAAAGGGAGACCAGATAAAAATAATTAGCTGCCGTTTGACACTTTGTGTGTGGCCTCAGTGTTGTAAAAGCTTTGCATGTAGTAACTGACTGAATTCTCAAAAAAAAAAAAAAATGAAGATACTTCTCTGTTATTTCCACTTTACCTCTAATGAAACTGAGTCACAAAAAAAATTGCCTAACTTGCCCAAGGTCACATAGGCAGCAGAGGGGGAAGCGGGAAGCTAGGACTTAAATGTTAGTAATCCCGTTCCAAAGCAGTCTCTAAAAAGAAACTTCCTGCTGCTCGGCTGCACATTAAAATACTTCATGAGGGAGAGAGGATTGCACATACATTGTGAAAGAAAATGTATAACAAGGAGAGAGAAAAAGCCATAGAAGCAGTAAAAAACAAACAAACCCCGCTGCGAAATTCAAAAGTCAAGATACCTCTATTTCCCTTTTGTTACACTAGAAGCTGAGAAACAGTGAAATAATAACTGCAGAATTTCAGAAAGAGTATCTGGGACCCAAGGATTTTGTATCAGCAAGTAATCTCCCAAACATAATGACCTCAGAAATACATTTTAGAATTGAAGGAATTCTAAATAACACCTCTTCAAATTCTTTCACTTGATCAGTGCATTTGTTTGCAGTAAAAGGTTATGGCAACCCTAGGAAATGAACACTGGTATTTGGTACAAATAACCTAAAAACATAAGAGCTGATTTTGGAATTTGATAATGAGTAGAAGCTGGAAGGATTTTGAGGTATATGATTTTTAAAAGCCTAGTATGTCTTGAAAAGAAATGTGGATGGACATCAAAGACAATTCTGATGATGTCTCAGAGGAATGTGAGAAAGCATCAGCCTAGAGAATAACATAGGCTCATGAAGAGACTATTGGTTTAAAAATATGGATGTTTAAGAGAATGAAAAACCCACAGACTGGGCTGCAAAACACTTATCTGCCTAAGTAATGATATACAAAATCCAAAAAGATCTCTGAGCTGGAGGTATAGCTCAGTGGTAGAGCATGTTCTTAGCATGCACAAGGCCCTAGGTTCAACTCCTAGTATGACAAAAAATTTAAAAGACTTTGTCACCTTAGCAAAAATGGTGCACAGATGGCAGGCCAGCGCAGGGAGAGATACTCTGCATCATATACCACCAAGGAAATAAATATTTAAACGGCCTCTGCACACCTTTCAGAGTCCCCGAAATCCAGAACACTGGTGACACCAAATGACAATGAGGGTGTGGAACAACAGGAACTCTAGCTTCTGCTGATGGAAATGAAGCAAAACGGTGCAGCCCTTGTGGAGGATGGGGTGACAATTCCCGAGAAAATGAAACACGCTCTTACCTAGCATCCATCAACTTTGTCCCTTGGCATTTACCCAAAGGTATTGAAAATTGAGAGTCACACAAAATCTGCACGCAGATATTTATAGTAGCTTTTTTCATAATTCTCCAAGCACAAACACAAACAAAACATCCTTCGGGACAGGAATGGATGCACTATGATGAACAGGGTGCTGTTATTCAGCAATGAACAAAAATAAGCTATCAAGCTGTAAAAGACATGGTGGGACATTAAATGCTTGTTACTAAGTGAAAGCAGTCATTGGAAAGAGGCTACCTACTGTATGATTCCACCTGTCAACGTTCCAGAAAAGGCAAAGCTACAGAGACAAGAAAACTCAGTTGTTGCCAGGGATTTGAAGGAAGGAGGACGGCCGGCTAGGTGGAGCCCAGGGGCTTTTGGGGGCTGTGTTGGGTGTGTGACTCTACCCAGCAGCCACAGCTGGTGCAGCAAGCAACACAGTGAACCATAATGTAAACTACAGTCTTCAGCTAATATTCGCTTATCAGTATTGGCTTATCCGCTCTAACAAAGCACCACACCAAAGCCGGGTGCTAATAATAGAGAAGAAGAAGAGACAGCGGAAGGGAATACATTGGAACTCTACTTTCCACTGAATTTTTCTAGAGACCTAAAACTATGCAGCAAATAAAGCCGATTAATTTTAAAATATGTGGATGATGAAGGTTCTTCTGGTAAAGTCTCAGAAGGACGTGAAGCACACGGTGTTAAGAGACCGTAGGAACAGTGACCTTGGCTGAGTCGCCTCTGTAGTTGGATGCCAAAAAGCTTGCTGTAGGAGAGGAACCGGAACACCTAGCTGAGATGAATGCGCCGCCTGCTTCTCTGTTGCTGTTTACAGTAAAACGCTCGAGGAAAGAGACGACAGAGGGGAGAACCGCTGAGAACGGGGCCGAAATCTCTCGCCACGCTCGGGAGCTGATCGTGCGCGCTGCTCGCTGCCTTCCTGCTCTTGCATTCCAGCAAGGGAACAACAGAACAGTTCGTCCTTTTTTTTTCTTTTCCTTTTTTTTTTTTTTTTTTAATGGTAGGTGGAGATTTGTTTCCTATTTAGGTCTAGCGTAGTAACTGGAAAGTTTTACAACTAAATTCTGCCTCTTCTCTCGCCATGTTTTTATTTCAATGGAGTTAAACAAAGAAGATTGCAGCTGTGGCCAGTCGGTGTTCACCGTTACCCAGAAGCAAACAACTCATTTAGCTCACATACGTCACTTGCGGCGAATTTGCTGAGTTTTTAAATGCGGACAGTTTCTCACTTTTCTTTGATGTACAGCTTCAAAGCTAGCGTTCCAAATGACCAGCAAATGCAGCCGACACGCGAGACAGAAGAGAAATGCGAGCACCAAGTTACTCGATGTGACGTGCGTCAGTCGCTGGCAGCAGCCTTCCGCGGCGCGGAGTCCCGGCACGGCTCACGACGGCTCCGAGCGCGGTCCCGCAGGATCCTAGGATTTCTTAGAATCCGCTTCTGAACCTGCTTAGAAAATCAAATCTCCTCTCTGCCCCGCCCAGTCCTTTTTCTCCCTCCTCTTTGGGGCCGAATGATTTCTCCTCTCGTGATCTTTTCCTCTTTCTCAAGAAGTAGACAAGAGCCAATCCTTCCCCGCGGCCTCTGTCCTCGGGACGCGCGATCCCGCGGTGCG